CACAAAGCGGGTAAAGATGACAAGAGAATCAACCAGTGGCTTCTAGAAAGCTGCCAAGCTTTTGCTCAGTGGCAACCGACTCGAGGTTTTTTGCTCATTAGTTGTGCGGTTAATTGCAGTTGTATGAGACAGGGAAGCGCTGTCGGAGTTTTGCAGTTCATACATTTTGAAGTGCTCTTGGATGGTCTTGGAGTGGAGGAACATCCGATCAGTTCCAAAAGTGAACCATTCACCCAGCAAACAAAAATTGTTCAGATCATGAGTTTATCTCTAGAAGGCCAATTACCCGATAGGAGCCAAAAGAGGATGTACACATAGCGAGAACAAATGGATCGAGTGTCGTCAAGGAAGTCTAATGAAACCATGGCGAAAGATCAAACACCGTGTCGTGCCTCGGAGGGTCTCACTAGTAAGATTGTCAATCATGTATTTTGTGGTGGTTCCGGTTCGCTTGACATTGGTGGGATCTTCTAGGGTTGTGTTGGTGTATCTGCTCCAAAAAGGTTGTAGAAGTTACATGCACACTTTCACAAAAAGTTGAACATTTTCAGGCAGGAGGTGGGGGCCCAAACAGGAGAGCATCGTGACTCGACCCACTGCTTAAGGATCCGAAAGACATGTAGGTTTTGTACCTGACGTTCGGAGAACAGATAAAGCTGGACGCTGGATGCTAAGGACAGACGTTCGGGGAATGGCGATTGGTTTCTGATTTCAGCATCACATTCATTGGGGTGGATGGATCTTGGACATACCGCTGAAAAGGAGGTCCCAAAACTTGCAGAAGAAGACACCGATGTTCGGAATAAGGAGTTGGTGCGTTGTTGCAGGACTCGCATTCTCGCATCGGGAGCAACAGCTCCAATGAGTTTCTTCTGTGGGCAATGAGTGCACGAGCGAGGGAGCGAGCGAGCGAGGACGAAGTCTCACATTCTCGTGCCGGAGCTAATGAACAGGAGTGTCTCACACTCAACGGAGCGCATGCAGAAAAGTGAATTCTCGATAAGTAGAAGCAAAGTAAACGATCCTGTCACACGGTCGCAGACCGTCGTCGCCAAATGAAGAGTAGTGACAAAGGCCCTTCCCGTGCAAAACAGCTCTGATCGACCGACTGACCGGAGATCCCGGTCGACTGTGGTCCAGGTTCTCACCAGGTGAAGACGGTCACATCCTTTTCTCGCACGGTTGCTGACCGAGGCGGGGTTCGAGTTGTCGTCGATCTCGTAGGGTCAAACTTCGGGCCTCTCAGGGCCTTGGAAGTTTGTATAAAATAAAGCCCCATGCGTACATTCGTCAAGACAATCTTGACATTCCTCATCGAAAAGTTGAGTCCATGGTAAGTGCATGGGCTCTCGGTTGGTGTTGTCTGCAACCCTTGCTTCGTTCGTTGCATAAATCTGCCGAGTCCAAGAAGATTCTTTGAGAGCTTCGTTGAATAATTTCGTACGCATTGTTTTTTCCCCGAGAACCGAAGTGGGGCCAGCAGTAGACTCGGCAAAACAGCAGCGAATTCGTCCCACTCCTATGTCCATCTCTCTCCTTTCCTGTCCTGTCCTTTCCTTTCCTTTCCCATCGTTTCGCTTTGCCCTATGATCACTCTCTCTATGCACTTATTTACACTTGTCCTAACTCCAACAGGAAATCCGTCCCAGATGACAATACTTGATATTCCGACTTCACCTTCGTTTATCGCCATGACGTTTTCTAACGAAGGTCTGTATGGCAAGTGTTGGTTCCTTCGGGGAGTTGAGCAATCCTCAAAATAACCATTCATCAAAGCAAAGTCTATGTATTCATTTTATGCGTAGCGAAAGCTCCATACCAAGCTTTGTATGCAGGCCTTCTCTTTGGTTTCTAACATATTGTATAACATCACGAGGTGTTAGCAAGTTTGTCTAAACCGCTGCCATTTTACAAGAAGGCATGATTTGTGCGTGTCATCCTTGCGTAGGGGCCATGCTAATCTTCTCTGTATCGTTCCAATATTATCGGATTTTGAGATTCAGTCACATACTTGGATTTACGGAATAAAATAGATTTCCTTCGAAAGGAGTGAACAAGCGGGAGATTCAGGTTCAAGGTAAAAATCAAACTCCGTGACAATGATAATGAAACCTAAGAGAATACATAATGGGTGAATGAATGGGATTTGGGAGATAGAATGTTATTCTCTGGAATTGTCTAAAGCAAACAGAAAGGGACACAGGAAATATAATGTAGGTATGTAAAAGAGATTGGACACAGCTTCTTCCGCCAGTTCATGGTAAGGAATAATGATTGTAAACTTTTCGAGAGGCATCAGAAAATGAAGAAATGGTTTTGAGTACTTTTGCATAACAGACAGATGTTGTGTGTGCAAAGAGAAAACGTTATGCTTGCAGAAAAATGCTGATGCTTTAAGATCTACAGATCGGTAGGTAGAGGAGCTGGTTGAAGCCGACAATCAATCCAACTGAAACACGAGTCTGATACAAGGTTCCAAACTAGTGATGATATTGATGGAGATAAAGCTTATCAACTAGAAAGAATAATAATATGAACAAGAGCGGATTATAAATGCACGGAATGAAGTAGTTTTCTGAACTTTAAAAAGTTGATTCTACTGGTTCTCGTTAACTGTCAGATGCATACAATATTTCGAAAGAGTATGTTGCGTCTGGAAGCGTTTTTGACGTTAGAACATTCCCTCGAGGATTTTTCGAACGCAGGCACTACCACCGGTAATCGTGTAGCTACTCACAAAAATTTTCATCATAAGTGCAAAGACACAGTTTATGTCAGTAGAGCTCAATTTTTTTCTCTTATTTTCAAATAAAAAGGAAGAAAGTGCAACTTTTCAGTCAAAGATAACGACACCTGCCAAGAGCAAAACCAACTTATGAAGCAACTCTGCACAGTAAATGTATATGATCCATACACGTATTATTATTTGGAAGACAAAAATCTCAAATGATTTTCTACCGCACATTAGAAATCCATTTGCGTCATGATGAGATGGAAGATATCATTTTTGAAGTAAAGAAGTCATATTACAATCGTTAATATTTTTTAATAACAGTTGATTCTTTTAAGTTTTCTCATTGACATAATGTTAAAAAAATTATGGTTATAAAGTCATGTGATAATTCCAGTGATTACTACATGATATATACATACAATAACTGATTGATTCGGATTTGTTTGTATTTCTTCTAGGACTAGACTTTCCATCAAGCCGTTAAGAAGTTGTAGCTTTTAGATTTGAGAGTTGTAATTAGTCGAATTATTTCAAGATCTTTTATGGGAAGGAATTAGAGAGCATCAAAAGGTTTGAATGTAAATCATACAACTCGTTTCACTTCGTTCCAGCTGGCATCTGCTAGCATTATGTTACTGCTAGCATCTTCTTTGTTTCTTATGAGATATTCACTTCCGCACATACCATTTTGTTGGAGTTAAATTCTCTCTCACAAGAAGTCAGTAAATTTCGTAAGTTCGTTTAGCATTTACATCCCGTTGAAAGAAGTTGTAGATACTTCTACTGTATATAACAATATTGATGTATCAGTGTGTTGACAACGATCAACGATTCATACACTGACAACGGTAGATGTGTAATGTAAGGTAAATTCACAGAAACACTTGTTGATTTTCATCTTAGAGAGAGAAAGGATAAATAGTGAGGTAAACGAAAGGAGCATATAATTAGCCGAATGCCATGACTTTATAGGCAATGCGTTTATATGCATGGCTGCTTTTCACGGGATGTAGTTTCAGCAATAACTTATTGTGACACTAATTAGATCGGAACAAATACCAGAGAATGAGATATGTATGTGCCGACCAACAGGGACTCGGGCCGCAGTGGCGTCTCTCCGTAATCACTTTATCATAAAATATTAGTAAAAACCATTGATATTATACAATAATAATATATCAGTATCGATTACTTAACTTGAAATTATATATTTAAGGAGTTTTTGAATTTTTTTCTTGAAAAATAGGATTATATATTTGTTTTTTCTCAGTACTCCTCTCTTCTTCGAACGAATGTTTCGGTCCGAGAAGGAAAAGAGCGTTGCGAATCAGAAGTCGAATAATTCTTCTCGGACGGGATGCCGAAGTCCGGAGGCGGATGGAGTGTCGTCCAGCACGCCGCGGAGGATTTTTACCAGTCGGGGAGGGGGTGCGTAAATGGGGCATTCGGTGAAAAGGGACGAGAAGATGGAGCAAGATGCGCCGGGAGAGTAATAAATGAATTAGATAATAAGAGACTGTTGGGTCTTATAGAGAATCAATGCAGGGCTACAGGGTGACGGGATGTGAGTTAAGCAGGGGACGCAAAATTAGGCGGAGGATTGGCGCTCCAGCGGCATTCGGGAAAAGTCAGTGGAGGGAGGGGGGGACAAAATCTGGAAAGGAGACCTGCCCGTTGGTCGACATAACGGGCAGGGAGCGAAAGGGGAAACGACAAGAGCGGAAATACGAGAAATAATTGAAGGCTCGCGTAGGAATAAAATAATGGGCGGATTCAAATTCTTAACCGAACGAGGGCCGGGCCACAGCTCACGTACGCGCGGGGTCGCACGCGCCTCTCGCCCTTCCATGTGTACCTCATCGGGCCCGAGTGCGTCCTTTATGTGATCCGCGAACATCTTGCCTTCGCACTCACCAGTAATCCCGTCATCGGAGTCCGCTCGCGTGTCGTCTAGCACCACGTCGGAAGATAACCGAATCGTTTTGAAATATTTCGCGGGTGGAGAATCGGGGAATTTTCAAAGCCCCCCCCCCCCCCGCGACCCGACCGAGCGTGTGGGTAACGGTTAGTGCGAGGCGCGAGCGGAACTCCGGCCGCGCGGAGCGTTCCCGGTGCCGGCGAAGGCACCGGTCGACGCGGGTGGCGCGGGGCGGGGGTTGGGGGAGGCCAGGCCAGGCCAGGCCAGGGCAGCAGCGCTGCGCTGCTCTGCGAGAGGGAGAGAGAGAGAGAGAGTCACCGCTTCTGTGCCTGCGAGCTACTCTCCGCTCTCTTCCTCTTTCTGCCTATCTCGTCCGCGCGGTGTGAGCTTGTTGCTGCGAGCGAGCGAGCCCGAGTCCGAGTCCGCGTCCGAGGCAGAGACGAGGGTGGTGGTGGTAGTAGAGGAGGAGGAGGCGGAGTGAGCCGAGGTGATGCAAGCGTGGAGGACGAGGTAGGGAAGAGGAGAGGAGGAGAGGCGACGAGAGGGGTGGGGGAATGATGATGATGTGAAGAAGAGAAAGAAGGTGGCGGTCGGGTGGGTCGGGGGAAATTTGTGTGATAGCTCCAAAGCATCTTGGAAGCGCTGCCGCTGCTGGCTGCTCTGCTCTGCAGTGTCCTAGAGGGGGGAAGCGAGGGGGAGAGAGAGAGAGAGAGAGAAGGTAGTGGGAGCGAGAGTGCGATAGAGAGAGAGTGCGCGAGGGCAGGGTTCGCGAGGTGTCTGGGAGGGTGTCACACATTAGTGCCGGCTGACCGAAGGAGGCCCCGATTGATGGTAGAGGGAGGAGTTGTAGGGAGTGATTTAGGATTTTGACAATAGAAAGATAGAGAGAAAAGAGCGACTAGGAGGCAGAGGATGTAGCGGGTCTTCTCCGTGTTTGTGCTCTTTGGATGCGAGGAGATCCATGAAGCTTTGACACTCGTGTGAAGAGCGTGGTATCCCTCGGTCATAACAGGAGTTGGAAGCGGCAGGTGAACGTGCTAGAGTCTTTCTTGAGGATCACGAGTTCAGGGATAGGCATTTGTGCGAGCTTGGAGTTTGCGGTATGGCAGATGCCGGTTGCTATTGCTCTTCATTGTCTCTTTCTGTGACACTGTGGCGTCACAGGTCGTAGATCTTCTTCGGGGTGAGCAAGGGTTCTCGGGGCTCAGCAACAATTTTGGAGAATGGTCGTCTCCGAAGTTCTGCTTGAAGGATGTTGTGATCTGCTAGGACGTGCTGTAGGAGACGGAGTTTATGGCAGTATCCGGGTGCCGATGTTATGAGAGCCTTTGAAGACAAAGAGTTGTTCCTGCAAGTGGAGTTGAGAAGGGACCTGACAAGTCGCCAAAGTTCTTTTAGGAGTGAACAATGAGTACTTCCAGGTTTATAAAGTGCGTTACTGTTGGAGATGGAGCTGTTGGGAAGACATGTATGCTTATATCCTACACAAGCAACACCTTCCCCACAGTGAGTAAACATCTTGCCCTTGAGTTTTCATCGGATCCCTCTGCGAGCATTGTATTCTAAGTTCGAGACATCTCGTACATTCCTTGTTCTTGGCCTCATTCTCCGGGGAGACCTTCTCGGCGACCCTGCCAGTTTGTAATGTATCTCCGTCGTTCTGGTTTTGTCTTTCTTCCTTCAGTTGGATCTTGTCGTGCTAGCGAGCAACAGTGTAAACTGGCGTATCTGCCCTAAGGCCTAACGTCTCTGTCTGGCTGGGGCTCTCAGGATTATGTGCCCACCGTGTTCGATAACTTCAGCGCCAATGTAGTAGTCGATGGCAACACTGTCAATCTTGGTCTGTGGGATACTGCAGGTAATGTTATAATCGCACGAAGGATGTTCACTCAAATCGTTTCTTCGGATTTAGAGACACTGGCATTGGTTAGACTTGTATCGGGTAGCTTTTAGCCCTACGTAGTCATGGCGCTGAGCACCTAATCTGCGTCCGCCTCCAGTCGCCGTTCCGGTCGCCTTGATCTTGTTGACTGATGCCAGAAGACCTTGTTTTCCAGGTCAAGAGGATTACAACAGATTGCGGCCTCTGAGTTATCGGGGTGCCGATGTTTTTCTTTTAGCCTTCTCCCTTATCAGTAAGGCTAGTTACGAGAACATCTCAAAGAAGGTAACTGCTAGTGACCAAGTAACCCCGCATACATTGCCTTTCCAATTCCGGAGTTCATCATATGGTGCACTAATTTTCAATCGTTATGTTTTCCCGGCATCCGATGTTTCCTGTATCGTGTTTTTCTTCCCGGGGAGATACCGAAGTGATTTCGCTTTGTCGTGGAAATGCAGTGGATTCCTGAGCTGAGACACTATGCACCTCTGGTTCCAATTATTCTTGTGGGGACAAAACTAGGTAAGGATATGGCTTGCCTCCTTGACAGAAGCATTCGTTGTTAAAGAGCTGTGCTCCTTCTGCGTGAAGGAGCCTGCCCTTCACATTGTACGGTTTGCAGCCCATTTTCTGTCGCCGAAGAGATTGACGTTGTCCGAATTACAGATTTACGGGATGACAAGCAGTTTTTCACTGACCACCCTGGCGCTGCTCCTATCACAACTGCCCAAGTATGCGTGTCTTACCTGCCCACCCAATTGTCTGGATGTGGTTTCTTCTGAGGCCCCATAAGCGTGCTGTCTGATTTGGGAATGTGCAAATTCTACCCCCTGGCTACTGAACATGACATATCATAATTTGGTACCTTTTACCGCTGTGTGCATTGTATGCTCTAAATTTCTCTCTCGTCGGGAGACATAAACTGTTTTTATCTCGTTTTAGATCTCGAAAGCCGAAACGAAATGCGTTCTTCATTCTTCTGACCTGTTAAGCTTTCCAGGGTGAGGAGTTGAAGAAACAAATTGGCGCTGCCAATTACATTGAATGTAGCTCCAAAACGCAGCAGGTACTTACTTCGCTCCGACCTCCTCTGGTCGTGATACTGGCATGATGTCGTCATACTAATTAGTTGTCAGGAGAGTTAGCGTCCTTCATTCCATGTGAATGTTTGATTCCCGCCTTACTGGGTTGGCCGACAGGGTTGATAGGCTCTTGGAGAAATTTTGACTTGACGAGACAAGCGTAGTGATTTTTTTGCTGGCCGTGCCAAGAACGCTAGATTTTGGTGTCCCAGTCCGGTGGTTGATGATGGCAGAGCGCCTGAATTGTATCCTTCGAAATCGATTGTTTGCCCTGCTTGATTAACATTTCAAAACACTTTAGTTGAATATTGCTCCCGTGGTTGTTTGCTTGGCAGAACGTGAAAGCAGTTTTCGACGCTGCCATAAAGGTCGTTCTGCAGCCCCCCAAGCAGAAAAAGAAGAAGAAGAAGCAAAAGACATGTTCCATCCTGTGAAGGCTTAATTGCTTTCTAGTTTATTTGGTTTCGGAGCCTGTCTTCTCCTCGCCCAGGTCACTTCAATGGCTGGTCCTGTAGTTGACATTCGAACAGGTGGAGGAGCGACTTCTAGTTAGGTTACAATTTGTGCTCTTGGTTACCACTTACATCTCTGTCCACTTTCTGTGGAGTCTAGGGTCCAGTACATTCACATGCTCCTCCAGATACTGTAGTGATGGACAATCGATGTGTTTTTGTAGTGGGTTGTTTATAGTACACTTGACCTAAGGGCCTATTCTGAAGTAATGATGGTCAAAGGTATTTGACAGTCTGATAGCAGCCAAAACTGCGCTGCCGTACCAAGCTCTTTGTAGGCATGACTCATTAGTGCGAATTGGGATTGCTCCACAGGAACTTTTTTCTTTCGTGGCTGCAAACTCTTATCTTTTAGGTGTCACCATAGCTTGATTTATAGGATGTAAAGCCCAGGAGGTCATAGTGCTGTGTGAAGACTTGGTTTTATTACCTTTTCTGCCTGTTGCCGAACTCTGCATTTTGGCCATGAAGGAGTTTCCGAGTCGGGCAGAGCCAGTGCAGGGCCAAGTTCTAGTAGGCTATCGAAGCAGGAACTGATAAAAGGAGTCCTGTGATCAATGTCATGTCTTCCACAAGGATCTTTGCAGCTGCAGGATGTTACATTGATTCGATGTAAGGAAATAATAGTCGAAGTACCTTCTTGGAATATAGGCACCTTTGATGAAATCCTTGTCTGTAGCACAGGCAAATGGTATTAGTGTATGATGGAAGGGGGCCACGTTGTGGCAACATCCGGGGCTCAGTTTTACACTCAAGCTTCTGGCACAATTCTTGAGTCAGAGTAGAAGCATTTTCATGTATATCTATGGTGGAAGTGAACTAGAGGAAGTCCAGCTAGGAGTTTTAAGTTATGAACGTTAGGGTCTGTAACTTACCGCTCGGTACATGATGTGCTTAGAAGTATACCGTAGCTAAGCCGGCGAATGGAGAAAGCCATCAAGTGTACTCTTACATCCCTGTGCTATATAATGGCTAAGGTGCCTGTGATTTTGTTCAAAAGCAATATGCGTCGCCTGGTCTCGGTCCGGTCCTGTCATGAGCGTGTCATCAAGTGTTGTCACTTTGAGCGTGGTGCGCACTGTCCCGTCCCGTCCCCACATTCCTACCCACATACATGTGGGGGTGTTGGTTGACTCCTCCCGGGAGGGGGCTCCATCTACCGCCTCAGTCCTAGGATGCATGCACATTGTGTGGAACTTGCCGGACTGCTCTGCCCGACGCATGCGGCTCTCTAATCATTCATATCCGCCAGCGGCGGTAAACGGTGCGGCAAAAGAGGCTGCGAAGTTGCGTCAACTCGCTCCCCGTCGGATGTACGAAGCCGGGCGTCGCCTGACCGCGCGAGCGGAGGGCAGGGAGGGAATCTTCGCGCGGCCATCACGACTTCGCCCAACGCCCGGCGCGGAAGTCCGTGCGGTGTCTCCTGCGGAGGCACCAGTACGACGTCTCGCGAGGGTGAGCTGTGATCCCTGGCCGGAGCCTAATTTGGAAGAGGCCAGATCAGCGGCCTCGGCCCAGCGAGGCGAGAGGCCCTTTGGCCCTCTGTCGAAACGGGGGAGCGAGGTTAAAAACGTGAACCGTCGCACGAGAGGAGGTGAGTCTAGAATCTGGGCCTGACCCGCGAGCGCACTGTGGCCACCGATCGTGTGTACTTCAATCCACAGCGAACGTCCTGTCGAGCGGCGTAATCATCGAGCATGTGCGCAGCGGGAGTACTTACTACACAGTAGCGTCGACGTACCGCAACTCGCGATCATGTGCGGACCGGACGCAGTACCGGGTAGCCGTAGTAATAGCGCGGTCACGCTTTTATGTAGGTAGCTGGTCCAACTCTAGATTGCCAATGAGAGCATCTAACTAACGGAACCCGGGATTATGGGGACACCAGCCAGCGCGCTCCGTAGAGAGGGCCATAGCGCCATCATGCATGCCATGCATACGCACCACATCCATGGCGATCATGCGCGGGTGTGGGGACTGCGGACGACCGAGCTGTCATGGGCGTCGCACACACGTGCAGGTTCCAGCTTTCTCCGGTTGGCTCGCGCTCCACTTTTGTCTTGTTCCTACCCTTTGTAAGGAATGTGCAGCACCACATGCTCTCTCGCTTCTGCCCTTGCTTTTGTACGTAACTGGCTTTGGGGCTCGCCATTACTCTGCGAGACCAGAGACTTTTCAAAAGCTGCTCCCCGCCAATCCCCGCGCCTTGTCCTAACCCACCCATCGAGTCACTGCGGTTGAGTCGAACCCAGATTGGTTGGTGGCCTCGGGTCAGTCAGTCCGTCCGGTGTGGTAGCTTCGCGTGAATGGACGGCGCTTTCAGTCCTATTCTTGGCCGGATAGACGTCGATAATGGCCTCGCAACGAGAAGCGCTTATTTATAGCCCTAATGCCGAGGAATCGAGCATTCAACCCAACCTTTGGAAGGATTTCGCATTCAATTTGGCCGTCCAAGCCCCTTCTCACACCCCTCTCGTGCTCTCCTCTGTATGATTCTTCTTGCCCGAATATGGCGAGAATGGTCCAAATTGAACCGCGGAACAAGCTGTTTAACAGTCCGAGGATGGTTCCATGATCCGCGTCCTCATCCTGCTAGATCCGTCTTTTTTCTTCTCTTTCCGTGGGGTGTAAGTAAATTGGTTATACAGAATGGGTGATTTGAGGTGGTTGCTCTCATTACGCCGAAACGGATCACTCCGAGGAAGTCAGTGGTAATCGAGCACATGGTGCAGTCTGACATGATCTGATAACCAGCCTCCAACATTTTGCAGGCTCTGTGGATAAATCGTATGGATTGTGTTGTTACAATCTAATCTTTGTCGGTCAAGGTCAGCCGCAGAGTTTGGAGTTGTTTCCCCAGCAAGGAAGAGAGCAAGTTGCTTGTAAAAGATGTTGCCCTACTGAGTCGTGAAGTCAGAGGGCTACCGGTAGTTTCCCGTTGGTTTTGATTGGTGGAACCCGTACCACTCCATGTTTGCCGGTCCAACAATGGACAATGCCGAGGGTGGCGGAAAGGTGTCAATGATCTTTGTTTTGCTCTTCAAGCTTCCGTACGCAGTCTCGGGCCACCATCTAGACGGAGGTTCATTTCTTTCCTTCCAGCTCCTACGAAGTAATAAAGCAAGAGCTTGCTCTATCAATCTAGTCTGCTCAATTCAAAACAGTGAAGGAGAATATCACGAGCTTATATGCTTGTCCAAATTATATGCTTCAGACAAGCATATAGTCGTGAAATGACGAGAGTGAAGATCAGTGTAGGTGCCCTGCAGAAGTAATTATCAACAGATGTGCAAAGAAGTGGCGCTGTGACATTTTCTGGATGATGATGCTCACCACAAAGTGTTTTATCAAATCGTGGCCTTTTTACCTTCGGTAGACACTCAATGATAAACGAGGCAGCAAAAGGAGAAATCCGCAAAGCACAGAGTTTATGTCTGTTTTATGGATTTGAGAGTGGTTTATGTGAGGAGGAACCTTTTGCTTCAGACCTGTCAACTGCTAAACGATCTACAGGATACTCACAAGGGCCTGCACTGAACCTTTGGTGGATTTCGGCGTATTTGATTGAATCAGTCATCCGTCACCAATGGCAATTTGTTGTCAGTGTGAATAACTGGTCTTTCAATTGTGTGCTTTCGATCTTTAATTTAGTGCAATGTGCGTAGGCTCTACATTGCACGGGAGAATTTGTCCAAGTTCGTATAAGTCGAGTTCAGGTAGAAGCATGAGATTTACTTGTTTGTGCTCTTGATTAGAGCCTGTTGTTAGTGGGTGTGTTGGTAAGTGCTTCAGTTATTTTTACACATAGGAGCGTTGGCGATGTGTGCGCGAGCTGATTAGGGAATCAGCCTGAATCTAGATAGATTTAGCTTACACCAGTCGCTTAAGAGAGCGAGATCTGGTCAGCCAAACATGCCTCAACGATGATTTCATTTAAAAAGGTGTTGTCTCGCCAACTCTGGTTTCCTGTAAGTTCGGACATTTCTCTGTTACGGGTGAGTTACTTCACTGTAATTTGCAATATTGACTGTTTCAAAGACTGAAACCCTCCTTACTAAAAAGCATATCTTACTGAAGACAACTATTATTCAACTAGCGAGCTATTCTTCAGCTTTCAAGGTGCTGATAGTGAGCCGACATCTTTATAAAACACCACAATGAGAATCTATGCATTCACGTCGACAGTACCTGCTGGAAGAATAGTACGGCGTTGGAAAGAACAACCGGTGGGATTGCCAACCTAGTAGAACGCCTTCCTGTCTGGTCGAAGGTGGCAACTATAAATGATTCAGCGTTCATGATTCAAGCTCTCATCATGGGGCCTAAGAAGAAGATTTTCAGCGGATGATTATTATGAAGGCCCTCACGAGTATCATGCCAGTACTGCCTTCCAAGTCGATTGATAGGAGACTTCACAGTCTTCAAGAAATTTCAAAACCGTGGAACTGCACAACATAGTACAAGACATATCGTGAGTGTTCCAGAAAAGGACCCGCTAGTGATCAGAGCTTACATACCTTGTGTCGTATAATGACCACCTTCCAATCATAACGTCCACTTGTCAGTGAAGAACTGGAGAATGCTCATGAGCTCGGCTCCTTCAATAGACTCATCCTCAATCACGTCCAAAATTCCCACAGAAAATAATGGAATTTGACAGATGACAGATTACATAATTTGCAACTGTTGATTATTTTCTTTTTGATTGGAATTGCTCACTAAACAGTTACATACGAAGCTTGCTGACGAGCGAGAAGGCAATCTGATGTAAAACATTCACATTTGACAACGAGGAAGAGAGTGCTCTCCGAAGTCAAAGCTGTAACAGACGCAGAACTAAGTCCAAACACATGAAAAGTTGTCGGCTGGAAGTCCTTAAAAGTTCATTCAGTGGAACACATTCCTCGTTTGAAGCCAAGGAGAATGTCAATACAGCCCAGTACCATTCCTGCTGTGAGATAGGCTGAAGCCTGATACAGTCCCGGCCTTCAAGTCTCACAGCGCAGCTGTACAGAAGCAGCAGTGCGATCAAGAGTGTAAGAGCATTTGAACAACCTCGGACCAATTCACGTACACCCGGCGTCTCATCTCCATAACTAGTCCGGGCTCTACGACCCCGTGCGCATTTACCTGTGCAGCTGAAGTTGCGAGCAGAGTGAAACCGACATGCTCACTGCAGTGGAACGAACACTCTCGGGTCTACCGTAATAGGATTTACTGCACAGACCTTCCCGTTTCGCGATCACAGGGAAGAAAAACTCCTATACCAATGTCTGAGACGGGGTTCTGCTCCCGCTTTGTAGCTGCACGAACCGTGTAACAACAGATTATGAAAAAGTCGTGGCGAGACCGATGGAAGAATCTGCAGGGCCGAGGAGGGGTTCGAAAGGCGAGCTTGAGCTGGAAAGGGGTACAGCGCGACCAGGCGACACCAGAGCGAAGTTGCTCCGGAGTCCGGTCCGGCGCAGAAAGTCTAGGGGGCAGAGTGACGGGCGGGCACTTCCGCGAAGGTATGAGGCAAGAATTCGTCGGCTTGAAAGTCGGCGAGATCCAGTCATCCAGCTCGGACGATGAGGTGGACACGGCGCGACGACGCAGGTGAGATGTCGCACGCCCGCGGCGGGACAGTGGTGCAGTCGGGACCCGCACGACCTGCTGCGCCGGGTCTGCCACCGGGCTGCGGCCCTGCAAGCCTGCGGGTTCCCATTGGCTTCCGGTTACCGGACTCGGGTACCATCCCTCCGTAACGTTCGGGCTGCTGCGACTCGGCGTCGCTGTGATGTACGAGGCACTCCGGGCGTGACGGCCTAACTCTCTGGGTCCGTTCGTCGTGCGACTCCGATTCCGAAGAAGCCGACCTTCGTCACGTACGACCGGACCGGACACGGTGCCCGGTGCCCGGTGCCCGGTCCCGACTTTCGGTACCTTCGTGATCGAATCCCTGCTCCAGCTGCCAGCCCGATGCCTGAATTGTGTGGACTCGTTCGTAATGCCCGATTTCTGTTGCAGGGCGATCGCATTCCAGCAGCAGTAGCAGCACTTGCTCTTTTTCCCACTTCCCAACATCTTCTGGACTTCCCGGTCTGTCGGGCTGCCAGCCAAAGCTTCCTCACTTTGGCCGTAGCTAATCTGCCATCGCCACATATTCCGAGTCGCACATCCGATTCTGTGCACATCACGGATCCGTGAGATATGGTTGTCCGCTGTCCGGCACGATTAATCTCCTACGGCTAGGGTGCTGAAGGTGGCATATCCCTTAAGTGTAAGAGATAGAGAGAGAGAGAGAGAGATTGATCTCTTCATGAGGAGTGAGTAAGATCTCGACTTCTGAGCCGGCCATCAGAAGTTGGGATCGGTGAGTGTAGTGGAGTTGGATCGTCCTGCCGGATGGCGGTGTCTCTTAGAACCGGTACGTGTGTTCATTAATGGCAAAGACTCAGAGCAGAAGGATTGGAATGAGAGATCACATAAGGGGTTTGTCGGTGTGCGTTCGGCATGCTGGGTGAATGTAAGTAAGTCGGCAGCCTCTGTGGAGCTCGGAGCTCCAGTTCAGTCGGTGTGCAATTTACATCATGCATGTACATGTTCACCAGAAGAAGCCAAAGCCAGAGCCAGAGCCAGAGCCAATCCAACCGGCCCTCACACCCTCTCTAAACACAATGTCGTCTAGATTCGAGCAGACAATTAGCATCGTCCGAGAGGTCTTCCCATTCAAGAGGCCTCACGCCTTCGCGCTTGAAACTGGCAAACGTCATGGCTCAGGTAGATAGGGGTTCTTAAGGGAAAACAACAACAACAACATTGAAGGAGATTGGTGTGCTGCTTCCCCGTCCTCTCTTCATTCTTATTTGACAAACATCAGTCAAATATATTCAGTAATCTACAGATACTTATTTGAGAGCACGGACAGACCGGAGAGTTTTTCCCTCGAGAAGTGACGATCTACATGTAAGTTCCTTTCACGCAAATACTGCCGTGAAGTAGGAAGCAGCATGTATCCAGAGTTCCACTAGAGTGTGGGAGGATAGAACATTTATAACCGTCATACGTGGACGGATGTCTCTTCGAGAAAAGGTAGGGGTCTTCTTTTGGAAGATGGAGGATGAGACATGCTGAAGCAAAGGTCCTATCGCTGGAGAAAGCTATGAATCAGCTGGAAGGAAGAACGTGCTGGATACACGCCGAAGACCATGTTGGGGCTGAGGCGGGCAGTCTCATTACCTACGGAGTGTCGGTTTTACTCTGCCATCGGCAGTGGCATTTGAACTTTTGCATATGGAGGATTATCTTTAAAGAGAAGCGACTTCGAAATCAGTGAGGAAGGCATTCATCTTGCTCCAGGGGAAGTGCTCGGTACATGCGAGGCAGAGCAGGAGCCCGACAACTTCTAGAACACAAGGACTGGCAGATGTAGGTTGCACGCCTGGGTGGCGATATTCTTTTCATCTGTTTCCGATTAATTTAAGTCATAATACTAAACGCCCCAAAATATGAGTATCACAAGTGACTCCTAGCTGCTCCTGCAAGACAATTCCTGGAAACGTAGATTCAAATGGCACCTTTTAGTTTCTCAATTTGCCATCGTACTTTACGTGAGTTTCAAAGCGATGGTGCTTATCAACTCCCTTTCCAGCAAACCTAAAGTCTCATCACTGTTAAATTTAACCCAAAGGACAATACTTCCGGAGTGACAACGCAGTTGCCGTCTGCTGAATTCAATCCTCCCTAACTTGTGTACAGTAGGTCGCGTTCACAGACTTGTCATATGCATCATTAGGTCTACAAATGGTAGACGATGTTTCAAATCTTTTGTCTCCTTGTTTTAATTAGATTCACCTGGATTAAGTGGTACAGTTTCAGTACACCTGGTGTGGAATGATTCCTGTAGTGGTCGTGGCGAGTAATTTGGGAAGAGCATAAACCCTGAAACCAGGGTGGCGGTTTTGTAAGGGAGCTGAGTTAGTGCGAATCCTAAACCAAATCAATTATCACATAGATGAACAAATAGCGATGCTACCTTGGCGACTTGCCGATTTTCGAGGAGCTGCCATGAAGCTGCTGCTGCTGCTGCTGCTGCTTAGACGTTGCTTTCAGCTATTTCCACAGTCGAGCGACATTTATTTTGAATTTGAACAAATGGCTTGTCCTTTCCCCGATAGAGGGAGTAAGTGAGAAAGACATGTAAAGCTCTTGGATACTCTCCTGTGCCTCGAGATTGTGATGGCTAGATATTGGGGATACAAGGCAGCGTGGGAAGAAGCAAATGAGATTCTCATATTTCGACGAATCCTCCCGATCCGACTTCAGAAATATGTGAGGTCAATGCTTTCGCTAATTTAGAAACGGAATCGAATGGGCAGTGTCCCACCTTTCGATGCCTTCCTGATGGGATCGTTCCCATGCTCATGTTCCCTCCAGTTGACTATTTTTACTCACCGCGTATAAAATATTTGAACTGGACTTAATTGGATGATGTGATGTACATGGAGCCTCTCTCAGATCAGCCTGGCACCTCTCAAATTGAACGACTATCGGTTTGTGGATGAAAGCATGCGGCGAGGAGAAATTGAAAAGCCACAGGCTTGGAATGGGGTGTCGGGAGAAGTACCCCCGAGTTAGGGGGCCTGGGAATATGGTACAAACCGAAAATGATAGCGAAGGATATGAAGGAAGGGAGGGGCATGATTTGGGCCACTGGCGAGAACAGTGAACTTGGTGAGTGTGCTTTGCATCGAGGGGGGGAACTATTCGAAGCCAGCCCAGAGTGAGGGGTAGCTTGTACAAGCAGCCCACCACCGTTCCCACGGTCGGACGTCAGCGGAACCACGTCCAAGTGGCGAAATGGCGAAATGGCGAAATGGGCTCCGTCACAGGCGGAGAGCAGGCGACGCCTGGTTCGCGAGAAGACCGACAGAATGATTTCCCGTCCACTTTGGCCACGCGTCGCCACGCGGAAGCAGTCCCGAAGCCCGTCGGTCAGGGGTGATCGCGCTGCAACGACCGACGCTGACTTCGGCAACAGGGAACTATCCTGTCCGGCGTGCGAGCGAGCGAGGCCAGACCCCCGGTCACACGTCGATGGGTTGGAATGACGCGCTGACGTCCGACGGCCAGCCATGCACCCGAAAGTCTTCGCTCGCTCGCTCGTCCCTCGTCCCTCGTCCAGCGGTCTGGGCCCGTTGGCCGGCCAACTCTGGGATGGCAGAAACGCAGGCGGTTCCTACATGGTGTCCTCAGGTCAAGGACATTACTCGGCGGGTCAGGCGTCATGACGGGCCGACACGAAATCACGGGCGGGCCGGAGATCGCAGCGCAGGGCAGCCCGGGCGCGGCCTCGCGAGCAGGGAGGCCAGGCAGGCAGCGCACCCTCAGAGGCCTCGGCGACACGAGGCTTTGTTTGCACGGTGCGTTGTGGGAGAGGCAGTCAAGGCCCGCACCTCGCATTCGCACTCTGTTCGTGCTGTTGCGTTTACGTTGCGATTCGGTGGTGGAGCGGTCGAGAGCTGCAAGAAGAAGCAGAGGCCGCGAAGGGCGAGGCAGGAAGAAATCACACTGGTTCATATTCTAGACCCTGAGAATTGGTAAGTCCCGTCAGGTCGAGTCGCGTCCTCCTCCTCCTCCTCCTCCTCCTCCTCCTCGTCTCAAGACCCCAGCGGAGCCCGAGTTCTCGCGCTACTTGTGTTTGCACCCCAATTGCAAATCTGCTCCTTTTGTTTCGAGACAGCGAAGACCGAGCGAGAGAGAGAGAGAGGTAGAAAGTGGGGTGGTTGTACGTGGGGAGCGCGGCCACACGACTCACGAGCTTCGGAGCGCAGGGTGAGTCTTCGGAGGTGTAGGTCGAAGCTCCGGAAGGGCTCGTGGCAGTACGTTTTCGGCAGTGTTGATTTGGTTGTGTGATCTTGCCTGAGTTAACGAGAAGAGCTGTGTTCTTGCGGGACACAGGTAACGGATGTTTGTTAGAAGTGAATGAAGGAGATTTCGACCGGGCGAGCAGGTCGTGAATGGTAAATCGTCCTCGTCAAGCTGGCGGGCTCCTAGTGTGTGTAGATTGTTGACGAGATCCGGCTCTCATCTCCGGGCCATTGCCGGAACTTGGCAGCTGTTGACCTTAGTTTTGGTGCCGGCAGGAAGCCAAGATCTCGGGACCATCTCTTATTCCGGTTAGTTTTTCGTAGGTTTGTGCGTGAGGAGGGGTGGCGTCGAGAAGAATTCGCCGATTGTCTATGAGGGGCGCAGGGCTCGGTGCCTGGGCTGGAGACCTGTGTTCTTGGTGATTGAAGGTAATCGTTTCTCCAGCTAGATGCAGTTTCCAGTGCAGAGAGTCGGAAGTGGCAGATGTTTCAGATGTTCCCTTGTGCTGCCTGGCAAGTCCAATGAATGCATACATGTCGAAGCTGATGCTTAGTTAGATTGTATCGGGGCATGTGGAGTATATGAGATTGCCCGAACTATGCATACCTCGTTCGTGAGAACACGCGGTTCGACATCCTGAGTGAAATAAGGACACACGTCCACCTATGGCCTCGGATATCTTACAGGTTGAAGGCCGTCACGCTTTACAAGCCACATTCACTTGGTCGCTGGTCCAGGTTAAGCGTCTCATAGCTTTCTTCGAATCAGAAAGTACGAGGAACTCTAGTCACGCTTACGTCCGACCATCCTGAGTCAGGTGTATAGTGATCTACATCTCTGGACCTCGTGGTGTATCAAGGTTAGACCGCCCTTGGAGATCAACGAAGAAGTAGAGTATTTCCTGCTGGTGAAAGTCTTACACTACACAGTGGAAGCACCGTGAGATTAGTGCGGAAACAGGACAGCGGGAGCCAGTTCGGAGTAGTTGGAAAATTCTGCTCGTGCCCTTAACCTCTTCGTACAGTTTACGAGGGACTTTCGATCTTGGATTTTTTCGTCTCTGATCTATGCCGCCAGGGGAAGAGTAACTGCCTGGTGCATTTTATACGCCTTTTATGTTCATCACAGATTGCTGTTTAGATTTATGAACCCATTTGATCACAGTTATCACCCGTGGCTCGTGGGTCTTGCTGGAAAGTGTCGAATTCATCGGCAACCAAAAGATCACCAATCATAAGTTTTGGGGCAAGAGTACCCTCATGCTTACCATTTACATTTTGAATATCTGGAGAGTTCGGCTTGCTACGTTTTAGTTAAAGTGTGTAGATCATGAGGATGCAAGGGCTGGGAATTTGATAGTGGGTAAGCTGGAAACATCTACCATCTACCTGGTCTTTCCTGAATGAGGAGTCGATTAATTTAAGCAGTTATGGTTTCCTTCCCTTTCAGCTGAAAGTGACTCAGAGTGAATGTAACCATATTGCCATTGTACATATGTCATTGTCAGTAAGATAAGTGAAGTTAAAAATTTGACAACCTGTTGCACACTACATGTATTGTTTCAGTCACGGTATATTCCACTGCAGACAATCAGCGAAATCTGTAGTAAAAACTGGTGGAAACTCTGAATGGCGTCCATAACTTAGACCTCACTTCTGCTTCTATGATTTTTCGTGAAAGAGCACCGAATGAGTGTAAGTGTACAGCGTGCCAGTTGAGAGGCCAACTCTCAGATTAAAGTCTCGTGGGAACCACGTGAGTGATGTTCACGCCTCCAAACCCGAAATTGGGTGTTTTGTTTTCAGTTCTTATATCCACCTCACTAATTCGTTTTGTTTGTGCTGCGCGTTTTGATTGTAGGTTGTCCGCTTCGTGATCGCCTTAACAGATTTGATCTTCAAGTGATGGAGAAGGGGCGCCGGTGAAACATCTGCCTCGACATTTGATCTACACAAATTCACTGAGGGAAGAAATGGCATGGTGTTGTTGCTGCGAGGATAGAAACATTGAAAAGCTTTCCAATGACCAATCTGGCTACCACCACCCCAATCAAAACATGCATGGTATGTCTGATCCAAACTACCGGTGTGTTCATGTGCTTATAGATTGGATCATGCAAGTTCGTTTCTCGCAGTCGATTGACTTTTCCTTGAGAATCACCAAATTGTGTACACAAGAATGGTTTTTCGTGCAGCCACCTCTATTGCTGTTTCAGCCTCTTTCAAATTTTCTGGGTGGGTATTCCAAGTCTCACCTTCTCTATGTTTGGTTAGGAGGTGGACAAGGAGCACCTAAACCCTCTGAGAACCAGCCTCCTAAGCCAGGTGGTCAGACACCCAAACTCCAACCCATCTCGGCACCTTCAATCACCATTGAGGAACTAAGGGAAGCAACGGACAATTTTGGCCCGAAGGCACTGATTGGAGAAGGATCGTATGGAAGGGTGTACTATGCTAACTTGCAGGATGGTCGTGCTGCCGCCATCAAGAAATTGGATGCCAGTACTCAGCCTGACCAGGAATTTCTCACACAGGTCGGTGACGATCTGCTAACTGCAATATAATCTGCAAGAGGAACCAATTGAAAAGATTACGAAAATGCACTTGCTGATTAGGATTTATGGGGTTTAACACATCTCTTCACGTGTGAGCTTCAGATTGCTTTTATTAGTCGGTTACACCCCACTTTATCTTATTGAATTCGACAAAAAGTTCACAATTTTGTTGCAAGCCTCAATACTTGGCCCTAACACGAGGAACTAGTTATGCTTCGCGCGTAACTTTTGAGTTTGTGTTGTGCAGGTTTCTATGGTATCCAGGCTTAAAAACGAAAACGTCGTAGAGCTTATTGGATACTGTCTGGACAATACCCAACGAGTGTTGGCCTACGAATTTGCGACTATGGGTTCACTTCACGATATATTACACGGTGAGATTTCTATGAGAATATACCGTATAAAATCAGGTTTGATTTGCTTGTTGTAGGGGAACACACACTTTGCGATGATGTGGTTAAAAGAGGTGACTAAGTTGTAGTGATCACTTTTTTGGTCTAAGACTGTATTCTCTCTTTCTTTGTATGTGTCTTTCTTCTCGAGATTATATCCCGGCTCTATATTTACCCTATTTCAGTGAGACTGGTTCTGTCTCTATTTCACATTTTATAAGTGTTTCAGCATCTCTACTGTCTTGGATCTGGTCTAGAGATTCATCAATTTGCTTCACTGTCCGTAAGAACACTTGCATCTTCACAAACAGGGCACACTAAAGTATAGCTATCTGTGAATGAAAGTCATGCTTGGATAATTAGACACAATGAATCCTGAGCGATGCCCGAGGGTATCCTGAGCCGTCGTCATGAGATTAATCAGGGGTTTTAGGGACTGCGAAAGAAACTTTCCTTTCTCAAGACGCAGCCGAAATGTGGCGAGCCGAGACTGCCATGTATTTAAGCTTGTTTGGTTGGATAGTTTCCCCTTCATTCTGTGTGCCTTTTACTCTGTGGACACCCATTTCTGTAGCTCTCGTCTTTGCTCATCCTGGATATTTACTTGCAGGAAGGAAAGGTGTGAAAGGTGCCCAGCCCGGACCTGTGCTGGACTGGATGCAACGCGTGAAAATCGCGGTTGGATCTGCAAGAGGCTTGGAGTATCTTCATGAGAAGGCTCAGCCAGCAATCATTCACAGAGACATCAAGTCCAGTAATGTCCTGTTGTTCGACGATTACACTGCAAAGATTGCCGATTTCAATCTTTCAAACCAAGCGCCGGACATGGCAGCTCGTCTCCACTCTACACGTGTTCTTGGAACATTCGGATATCATGCACCCGAGTAAATTTTAGAACCACGCCTGTTCCTATTTGGTCTGTGTCAAGGGTAATATGATATTCATCGTATATGGCCAAACCTTACGTCCATGTGAAGATGTTTCCGAAGTTTTTAACGGCAGCTCTCGATGTGCAGGTACGCCATGACTGGGCAATTGACACAAAAAAGTGATGTTTACAGTTTTGGAGTGGTTCTATTGGAACTGCTTACTGGTAGAAAGCCAGTCGACCATACCATGCCCCGGGGACAGCAAAGTCTTGTCACTTGGGTAAGTAACTCTCAATGGCCTCTTTCCTTGATCTATGTATTTCTCTGCGTTTGATCGTATTCAAGACTTTTTGACATAAACGTTAGTGCACCAATCATAGGCTTTTAAACTAATTTGAGTCCTCCCGTCCTCTGGCTGAACTGAGTCCGTTAGTTCATTAATTTTTTGTGTTGGGGAGAAAAGATGTCTTGCTTTTGACGTGGTTTGTCACAACTTTCTTGATAAGAAAACGAAGCAAGGACATAACCGAATTTCCTTACATTCGTTACACTATTCAAAGTAAAATTGCTCAAGTCCTTTTCGTACATGTCTGTGATTATTGCCGGTACAATCAATATATCTATTGTCTCGCATTTGGATAGGACCTTCTTGTTGAGGAGCTCGGATGAGTGAAGCTGGAATTTATTTGCAAATAGACCAGGTTTTATGAAGTCCAGTCTTTCACCCAATCTAGGCTTTGTTCTCTCACGACCGCATTAATGTATCAAGTGCATATGTTTAGGATGTGATCGATTCGAAAGTCAACTTAGTATAACCTTTCCTATGATTCACTTTTTCTACATTTTTCAAATTCGAGGATGCTGCAACAATTTTTGAAATTGTGTTCAGGCAACTCCAAGGCTGAGTGAAGATAAAGTTAAACAGTGCGTGGATCCCAAGTTGAAGGGGGAATATCCTCCCAAGGCTGTCGCGAAGGTATGTTTTTTCTACTGCGAAGTGAAATGGAAATAAGGTCGCCTCGACTAACAACAAATAGTTACCTTCTATATTTTCCAAGACTTCTGCCTTTAGTCGTTTTTGTCTTCATTGGCTCGTTTGAGGCTCTGTTTTCTTTGCCCCATGCGCATAATCTTCTTCAGCCGAGGAGATTTATTGCATCTGCTTCAACGTGGATTCCTTTTTTTTATTCCCTTCGGGACCTGATCTAGTTGAGAGAAGAGAAATATAGAATCTCACCGTTGTCTGCTGGTACCAGTAGCACTGCCTAGCCAGGGTGCTGAAATGTCAAAAGCGTTCTCTTTCGACAATATGAAAGACAATTCCATTCGTGTTTTGCATGTAGTGAGTGAAAACTCATTTGGATGTTTGCTTCTCACGAAAGCCACCATTTGATGATGCAGATGGCGGCGGTTGCTGCGCTTTGTGTGCAATATGAAGCGGATTTCCGTCCGAACATGAGCATTGTCGTGAAAGCTCTCCAACCTCTTCTGACAACTCGGACTGCTGCACCTGTCCAAGGATCACCCACACGGGATTGATCCTATTCTGATTAGAGCTGGATATTGTGTAAGTTTAGAACTGTTTGTTGTGGTTGATATCTATCAAAGCTGTGGCACAAGGGTGTCTCCAAATAGAGTCACAAACCGGCATGTTGCCTATTCTGATCGTGCCCTTTTTGTTGGCCACAAATGACATACTATTTTGGTAAGTGATAGAGAAACCTCATGACATGGATAGAAGTGTCATAAGCCTGCAGTTTGGAGCATATTAGTAGGTGCTCCCACAAAGGCACGGGATCCCAAATTCGTGCAGGAGGATTGTATAGACTCCTGCATGCGGGAGACTGATCTTCATGTTGCTGCCCAAGGAGCCCGCTGGAAGATGACGTATGTGAGGAGCAAGAGTAAAAATTGGGTGTCACAGGAGTCATTTGGGGAGTGTACAGATATAGGAATTCTAATGGCCTCATGTGGGTATTTTTTTAACTTCATCTATTTGTTATATTGGCACTGTTTATGCTGCATTCAGTGGCAGTGCGGAAAAGTCAGACCACTTCGGCTTGTTTGTAGTTATACGGTATGCTGTTTAAAAAAAACTGTTAAATCGGATGGTAATTTTGACGGACAGTCAATGCACTCAAAACTCTTGGGTCTGAACAGCATCAGGAGTGAAGACATGAATGCTTCTTCAAGTCCAGTCTCGCGTGATAGGTCAGGAAAGGGCCTGTTAGCAGAATCTTTCAATTTTCTTTGAGATTTCCTTTCGTCCAGTGATCAATTGGATGAGTTGATGGGGTTGTCCCTAGTGTGTAGATAATGGTTCTGGTTGTACGCAACCATTTATTCTCAGCACGTTGCTGAGCTGCTCTCTTGACTCCATTTGGTTTGTGAGCAGGCTGCTTATGAGAATGGATTTTGGAAGGCAATATGGCAAAATTTGGAACTATTCCAACTTGATTCGTAAGGCACCGCTGTTGTCGTAACAGCTTTGTATAAAGGTTGATTCGAACGGTTGCCTGTCGGCGAATATGAACTGGAAGTTGTGGTTCTTTCTTCACTTCTCAAGATATCTCTGGATGACATGTTTGTAGTCTTGTAGAGCGATTTTAAGCACTTTGAGTGCCCAGTCCGGGTGCCGTCTTTCCGTCGGTGACTTTTGGATTGCCTGACCTTTGGTCGCGTCACCCTGACTAGTGAACTTTGATTTCGGCAAAATCCCGTAGCATGGTGAAACTACGGGAGTATGGGGGATGCATACAAATTTGCTCAGAAGCCGCGAGGAATTTACGAAAATTGCGAATCAGTAGATGTCAGCGTTCCGGGCGAGTACAATCTTCAAAGAACTAAATTCCGAAATCAAATTGGAATACCGCGTTTCGTAGGAAATAGAAGGCCTGGGTAAAGTGTGGATCGCATTGGCGAATGTTTGAATGGTTTAGGAAACGCCGTATTCCAGAGTTTTAGTAGTAAAACTGTGATATCCCTTTCCACCGAGAGCGAGTATTTGCTTTTCTGCAGAAAGAGGCCTTCACAACGTGCTGCCATTTATCCTTGAATTTGCATACTCTACTTTCATCATCCGATGGCACAAAGTTTTGCAAAAAGGGTGCACAAAGCGGACGGGTTGAGTGGACTTAATACAGCTCAATCTTCAGAACTCGAGGTTTGAAGTCATCAAAGATAGAACACGAAGATCTTAAGTGTTATCAATGAACTTGAGCTTTGTGCTCATCATTTAGATCTTTTTCAATTATTTGGAAGTACGGAATGTGAAAGTTGTCGTTCCAAAGATCGAGGGAATTAAAATATAAATGACACATGTTAAGATTGACTGATACAAGGTTAACATTCTAAATTTGATGGACGTAGTGATTATATCTTGTGGTACAGACAAATCAGGAGTGTATTAAAGATATTAAGGTAGAGAGAGGTATTGATATCTAACCTCAGGAATGTCAAGGAAGAAGATAGGAAGTATCTTCAAGAGCAGGCGGGGAGAAGGAATCATGTATCTTCAACCTTCCGCGCTTAACATGAGAATCGTGAAGATTTGTTTGGAGAGTATTCTATGAAAGATTCAAAATCACAAGATTCAAGATCATATTGATGACTTGATGTGGATTTGCAAAATATTGAAATGATCCAAATGATGAACAGAAAGCTCTTCATAACTGAGAGTATTGCTGTTATAGTTTTAATCACTTACACGAGTGGTAATTTATGATGATAAAAAAACTATTATTTATAATGAGGTGATTAGTGCTTTATTGACTTCCTGATAATTTGCAAAGCTTGTTGATGGTCTTTGCATTACCAGCTAGTTCTTTGAATACGGCACCGTATACGATATGTGGACGATCAGAAGATCAAAAGTGATGGCAAGAAATGTGGATGTAAAGATAGATCAAAATCTTAAGTCAAGTCTCAACATAAGAATACAATTACATGTTGGAATTGTGGCAAGGAATACCACATGAAGCAAGAGTGCAAATCTAACGCAAAGTAAATGATATTTCATCAGCAAGAGTGATTATTCTAATGTAGGATTTGCAGATGGATGACTTTCTCTATGATTGTGATTTTTAAGTCACCAATACTATTTGATATTTTTCATATTTTTGATAGTACATGTATCTATTGCATTTGTTATATTTGAGAGTTCTTTTTTTATATTTTCATAAAAAATTAATCAATTTTATCATATTAAAATAAATTGGATAACATGGTAACTTACTATTTTTAAAAATTAGAGTAGCTTATTTCTATGTATGTACAGAGTTGAAACTGCATGCAGACTATGTGGAGATTCTTCGGGAAATGCAGACAGTGTTCCAAGATGATCGGTCGAAGGAGCTGAGAAGATCAAACACGGCGATGGAGGAACGGAGAGGACACTAACAAGTGTGCAGGCTGAGCTGGACAATCTTCGTGCCAGCAAGGACGCGGAGATTCGATCATCTCAAAAAAACACTATTTGCGATGATAACCTCTCAGACCCGACTACGGGAGATGGAAGTGAAGAGGCCCCACCATTTAATATCTCTCATCCGAAGGTGATCAGGGACAACTACGCCGAGGTAGAACATTTCACCCGTATGCTAGACATGATGGAGTCCTTGGACCAATCAAGTAATCTGTAATCTGTAATCACGTTGAACTTAAATATTCAACACAAGAATTGTTCAAATCTCAATTTTAATAAAAATATTCAATCACAATATGACAAACACACGCATTGTAGATGTGCCATTTTGAACAAAAACACTTAATCATAATATTTTGTGATAAACATTATACTCTTGATGTGTAGTTCTCGACTAAAAGAATATCGGATTTCTGCTAGAAATAATTTACGACTTTGTTTTATTTGTAAGGGTCTCTGCTCAAAAAGCAAAGCACATCCTTCCCATACTGCCAAATGTAAATCATTAACATAATACTTGGCCAACTCATCGTCCCTGAACCATCTGAACTTTCTCCATGGATCTTAAATTGGTCACCATGGGAGACAACACTTTAGCCGTCAAGGCCCTTTACGATCGGGATGAAACTCTAACTCCGTAGTCGAGATAGACTTGTTGAAATGAGAGGTGTCCCACAAGCTTTTCTGGGAGCTCTCAAATGCGGACAATTCAAAAGATTGTACATTCTCTTGAACAGCTACATTTCAAAAGCTCAGATCCTCGAAGTCCATCAAGCATGCATTCCCTGGTTGAGATTTTAGCGCTGATTAGGAGTGATAAGTGTTCCCGGGTATGAAAACCACGTTTAACATGATAACAAAAGAATCTATCGACTATTCGAATCTTACCTGCCAGATTCGAGCTTATAGCACTTGATGTTGTCTTCTGCTGAACCCACTGATTCGTCGTCCACTTTTTCCCCTGCATGTTTATAACTTTGCTCTAACTGCGCATTTCAAACCGAACCAATTTTGCCACTCCACTACACAAAAGACACATTCCATCATTCTCTTACTGCCAAGGAGTTCAAACAAAAAAACCAGTGTGGTGGAATCTATTTTATATATCCAGAAAACCGACAGAACCAAAGCTAGAACTTGAGACAGTAGTGTAAGCCAGAGCTTCTAACAACTTCCGATAAAGCTCCCTACGTTGTTCATTCAAACATTCTCTTTAAAACTTTACTTCCGTCATGCATACTGTTGTTGAAGAATTCACTTTCAAAAATGTTTCAATGTTTTTGTAAGATCGGCAAACAAGTCAGTGATAATCTCAGTTTTGAAGATCGACCGTTTGATCCTTCTCACAAAGAAAGAAATTTGAAGTTCAGGCTCATGAATCTCATGAAATGAAATTGAATAGTATTTAAAAAAAATGAATATATGGAGCTGGCAACGGACAAAATGACCATCAGTCCTGAGTTGCTAGATGCTTTTTTAAGTTCAGTAGATTGAACAACTTCACTCTTTTGCTTACCATGCACATCAGAGCCTTTTGCTTACAACACATTCTATCATTCCTCTTGGCTCCTGAATTCGGCGATACTGCAAAGTTGACAAACCTGTTGAGGAGAAAGCAAAGCCCCGAACAAGCTGCACGCAATTTGGTGTGAATCAGAGGCCTGGAGATCCATAGGAATAATACTTAACTGGAGATTTTCCTGAGCGCAAGTGTGGGACTTTGCAGCACAAATATGGGAGGACGTGAACCTGTTTCTCTAAAGATGCTGCTGGTCGGAGACCCGATGAAACGAGGTGCAAATATCATCGCCTCTTCTCATCTCCAGACGATCAATGGCTCCTTAATCGATCTCCAGAGCGACCCGCTTTTTGACACTCTCTTCTTATTTGCACTGTGGTTCTTCCTGCTTACCCTCACTATTATTTTTCTGACAGTCGACATTTGTTTTCGGTTTGAAAGAAGAGTCTCAAGGGGACATTCTGAAGACTCAGAAATTGAAGCAGAAATTTCAAATCGCACTCGCAATCATCGATCCGGCCATATGAAAGCAATGGAGAGTCACCACGTAGTCGTCAAGGAGACACGGGATACAGTTGATGCGAGCCATGTACATCCGGAGGAAACTTCATCGTCTTCGAGCTCATTGAGATCCTCGTCAGCTGCTGACACGAAATGGAATCTCCAGACTAGAAATCACTATTCCTCATTCATGATACCATCAGCACCATCAGGAGATCATGAATGTGACAGAGCTTTTAGTAACTTGCTCCAAGTGATAGCCTTTCTGAATTCTCGGTGTAGTAGGATCTTCGGATTTGGACGATTGATATCTAAGAAAGGTGATTTAATCGAAGACAAGTTACCAGATATTGAGAAAGATGTCAAAAAGTAAACAATCGGTACTAGAGTTGTTTAACAAGAACTTGAAGATAATATACATTCGTTATTCGATATATTGAAGGCAGTGCATACAAAGTTCAAAGGACTGAAACCTGCACGATATATCCTGCCTTAGTTGTGTTAGTCAGACCATACCATAGTCTGTATTCATGTACAAAATTCAGGTTACAAAAATTGATTGAATATTTGATTTCTCTTACTCTGCATGTGTATCATCACTTGCAATTCCGCATGAAACGCTACATGCTGCAGAGCCTTGATTCTTTTTGGGTCATTAATTCCACCGCTTGGTTCAAAACTATTAGTATCATTGGCTGACTGAATCATAGTCGCAAGGCAAAAGCTCCTTTTTTTTCAGCTTTAAATATAGCTACGTCCATATGCCTTTCCAAGATTCTACAACAAAAGTTTTACAAACGCATGTGGGATTCTATGGTTTCTATGCACATTATACGTTTATCATTATGTTTTCCAAATCAAGTAAAATACTTCACTCGAACGGTATATGTAAACTGCAGTTTGCGTCTGAAGAGCCCTAAATACGACTTCCATCAGTAAAAGCAGAGCAAAGCAATGTCTTTTCGATATTAGAGTT